GAGCTATTACACCACTACACACCCAGCTAGTCCTCCATAATATATCTTATAGACCTAGGTGTTAGTGGCGTAAAAAAAGAGTTGGTGCCCGGACTCGTATATTATTATTATATATTCCGGCCCGTTCGTTTTGGTGACCTCGACGTGATCTAGTGTATATGTGTTTGGGTAATATTCTTTTTCATATGTTGTAGTACGAGTTAGTCGTTATACCTTATTATAACATCATCTAGAAACTATAGCGATTTAAAAACAAAAAAAAATCTGTCATTAGAAATAGTAGCATTGCATGTTATTTGAGATTTAATTCCCAATTTATCATTAATTTTATTCTATATTGAGGACAATTGGGAACGATAAATTTGCATCAGTATTAGCATTGAGTATTTTTATTTCGTTTTTCTTGGAACTTGTTTTTTTATCGTTGCGTGGTAAATAAGAAGATGGTGTTAGACGAGTCTGCGCAAAAGGTGCTATCAGAGCTTCGAAGGTCGCGAGGTGTAGTGAAGGCGTCGCTCACGCGCGTGCGGAAATTCGTGGATAATTTTAATCCATTAGAGCAAGCTCTGTCACTGTTAGAGTTTCGTCAGGAGGAGCTTCCTCGTATTTGTAAAAAATTCGAAGATATCCAGGCTCAATTAGAGCTTATCACAGAGGATGCAGAGAAGGAGGAAGAAGAGCGTGATTGTTTTGAGAGTGAATACTTTGACCTTCGCTCGAGGATCCAGGAAATTATCAATGCAGCAAGACCACAGAGCTCGACGGCGCTAAATGCTTCTTTCAGAACTATTGGAGGTAATAGACCAAATTTGGCGCCCATAGCATTGCCGATTTTTAATGGTGATATAAAAGATTGGGAGTCATTTTATGATATATATCGTGTTATGGTGCACGATGAGGATATATACTCACCAGCGCAGAAATTTATGTATTTGCGTTCGTGTTTGAAGGGACCAGCATCTGAATTGGTGCAATCAATTCCTATAAGCGATAACAATTATAAGGTCGTCATAGAACGATTAAAACAAAGGTATGATAACCGGAGTTTGGTTATACAGGCACACATAAGGGAATTATTAAACAGTCCAACGATAGAAGTGCCATCAGCCAAAGCCCTTCAAGCACTTCATGCTCATGTGTGTACCCACGTTGCTGCACTCAAGGCGTTGCATCAACCCGTTGAACAATGGGATGCATGGTTGGTGACCATCATTACCTCATGTATGGATGGTGCGACTGCACATGATTGGGAATTACGACGAATCAATAATGACTTACCAAAATTCGAAGACCTCGAAAGGTTTCTTTCAAGTCGTGGGAATGCGTTTGAAAATTCAGAGGCGTGTATGAGGAAATCAATAATTTTCCCTAGCAGTAATGTTGCTTCAAAAAAATCTTTTAGCACAAAAAAAAGTTTGGCAGTAACAGAAGGTAGTGTTAGATGTCCGCAATGCTCAGGTAGCCATCAATTGTTTAGGTGTGACAAGTTCAAGGCTGCAACAGTGAGCAACAGATTAACATTGGTTAGAGAAGCGCGCCTGTGTTTTAACTGCTTAGCACCCATGCATAATGCGGAAGCTTGTAAATCAACATACAAGTGCTATGTATGTAACCAGAAGCATCATACGTTATTACATTTTGAAAGAAATGCTTATAATAAAAATGCTAGTCTGCTAAGTGGCACGGTGGATCGTGAGGAATTATTACCAGCAGAGGATACTTCAGCGGCTTCAGGTGCTGCATTATTGGCTAGCTCTATTTGTCATCACGTATTTCTTGCTACAGCACTTGTTCAAGTCACTGATCGTTATGGAGGCAAGCGAGAATGTCGAGCAGTATTGGACAACGGTTCACAGGTAAATTTTATTTCAAGAAAATTCTTCAAAAAATTGCAACTCTCTAGTAGAAAGGCAGAAATGCCTGTTCATGGTATTGGAGGTGGTCGAATTCAATCGTCATCTGTGTTGGACATCCATGTGTCATCAAGTGTCAAGAATTTTAGCTTGAGTATTCCTTGCTATGTATTTCCCGCCATAGTGAATGATTTAGCGGCGTGCCCCGTAGCGACAGATAGAATGGAGCTTTCTAAAGAATTGCTCGATGATCTAGCTGATCCAGGTTTTGCTAAAGCCGGCACAATTGACCTTTTAATAGGGGCTGGATCGT